TCAGGCCTATTTTGAAAAAGGTTTGCATATACTTTCTGTTAATTATCATATGTAGTCTGGTACTGTTTTTTATTATTTCTCAAGTCAATGTTATTTTATGTAGGATGTTCAGAAGCCACCCCAGTTGCCTAAACTGGTTCCTACTTCCCATACTAGTAAAGGTAAGGAAGTAGATGTCCCAGAAAATCCAATTTTTCAACTACTATCTGTTGTCCCACAGTTGTATATTCAATCTTTTCAAGTGAAGTGGGATGTTGATAAGTTAGGGGTAGACAATAAGAACTTTCCCCTTTACATTGACCACACCGATGCTGTGGAGATAGCAGTTGGCAATCAGTGTCTAAACATAGCAGTGTTACAATTTTGGACAATGTAAGTATTTATTTTTATTTACTAATTATGTTATTTGAAGTTATCGTCATATTTAATGTACATTGAACTGGCTACTTTAGGATGATGAATGAATTGTCGGAGGAACAACGCACCCAAGATGTGTATGGATTTTTTGAGCCCCAATCCATACAAAAATCAGGAAACAAGAGAGAAGAAGTTCAAATATACATCCAAAATTGGATGATGAAGTCAAGGAAGAAAGTTTACTTGGGTGCTTACCACCATCAGTAAGTATTTAAGCGTATGAAATTATTCGCATTAAATTTTATAGTGTATTGTATTATCCTAACTTTTTGTAATGTAAGCAGAAATCATTGGCAGTTGTTGGTTGTTTGCCCAAAGCAGAATGTTGTGGCTTGGTTCTGCTCACTGGGCAAGAAACCTGATGCAGATCTTAAAAACATTGTAAACAGGTACACATTCTTATAATAATTTAAACAATTATTAATTGTTTTGTTACTTAATTGTTTCATTATATCTTGTATTGCACAGTGCATTTAAGGTTTGCAATACAATTGATGGAGTACACACAAGCAAAAGCACGACTCCAGATTGGATTTTTGTTAATGTAAGTCATTTTATATTTATGTATTATATCATTCATTTTATATGTCAAATTAATATATTATTTTTTGTAGTGTAATAGGCAACCATGATCTTATGAGTGCGGATATTATGTTATGCACTGGATGTGGCTGATTGTTGTTAGCAAGACTGAGGATACATGGAATCAGGTTTGCTTAAATTTAGTATTCAATAAAAGACCCAGTATTGTGTCATTGGATACTCTGTTAAATTATCTTTTTTCTTGTAACAGGTATTTTCAGACAGGGAAGCATTGCCCATAGAGACCATTGACGATATTAGAAACACATGGGCCGATAAGTTTGTTAAAGTTAGAAGTAGGCAAGTTTAGTTATTAATTTAGTACTTAGTTTAGTAGTTAGTTTAGTAGTTAGTTTAGTTACTTTACTAGATAGTTTACTAGTTAGTTTATTAGTTAGATTAGTAGTTAGTGTATTTGGTAGATAAGTAGTTGGATACACTATAATTTTGGATACAATTTTATTTTTGGATGCACATTCAATTGTTTATATCTTGTACATTGTCTGCCTGGGTTGTATTCAAATTTGCAGGTATGTATATATACAAACATTGGGTACCCTGTATAAACAAAGCGTCCATTTAAAAAAAAAAATAGACTTTCTACGTCGGTTCATACCATAACCGACGTAGTAAACACGTACTCGCTTGAGCGACGAGTGTACTCGCTTGAGCGACGAAAGCTTCAAACAAAGGGGACTCTCGGGTTCCATCTCGCTTGAGCGACGAGTGTACTCGCTTAAGCGACGAAAGCTTCAAACAAAGGGGACTCTCGGGTTCCATTTCGCTTGAGCGATGAGTGTACTCGCTTGAGCGACGAGTATACACTTTCAACGTCGGGTATGAATAACCGACGTTGAAAGCCTAAACTTTCAACGTCGGTTATCTATACCCGACGTTGAAAGTGTATACTTTTAACGTCGCCTGATACAACGTCGGTTGTATAACCGACGTTGAAAGCCTTATATAACCGACGTTGAAAGGCATATCTGTAGCAGTGTTGATAGTATAATATTTAAATTTATATAATAATGGAATAAATTAAATAATGATTAATGTATTTAAAAATTTAATTGGTTAGATTAGGTTGAATCTGATGTTTAATTTTTTTATTAAGATGGATGGTGTGTTACGTAAGTCAATAAATAAAGAGGTATTTATGCGTATTATATAAACCTAATAATAACAATACAGAAAACACAGAGTTCCACAAGCAACACTTAGAAGAAGAATGACTCAAACACTGGTTTCAATGTTTTTTTCGAAATTCATTATCTTTGCAGCAATGGCTATTTTTCTATTTTCACTTGGTATTTACACAGATCAATTTTAAAATTTTATGCAACATATATTTATATTTTTTGAAGGTTGATTTGTTTATCATGATATATTCATGTGATTTTAGGTTTTGATACAATGCAGGTGTTAGTGGGAGGGTGCCACCCACATGTCATGGATCATGCGCTCAATTTCCAGACTGTGCTCCGCACTGCAAATTTATCGGCTACGACACAGGAAAATGCATTCGAGGACTCTGCTGCTGTGGTTGATCCAAAATATTTGCTAAGAATTTTCTTCCATTGTTGCAAACAAACACTGTGTTGGTTTGAATAATATATATGAGAATTTGAGTTTTATTTATTTTACTATTTCATGTCAATGAGCTTTTAAATTTAATTTAAGAATTATAATTTTTTTTAAATCAGCAAATGACAACTATTTGAGATTTAATTTATGAATTTAAAAATCACAATGATGTGATGGATATAAATTTCTCAATAAACATTGCTTAAATTCCTTAAGAAAATAATACTTTGACGACTCAAATCTATACAACTCTTCTGTACAACTCATTTAATATTATAATAATAGTTATAATTTATTTTTATTAAATCATCCTATATATTAGAAAAATAATACTTTGACAACCTAAATCCATACAACTTCTATAAACAACCCTCTTTTAATATTATAATAATAATTTTACTCTATTTTTAATTTTATTAAATCATTTTATAAATTATTATATTAATAAAAGTGAGTTGTTTAAAATGTTGTATGATTTCTGGTTGTCAAAATATCACCACTCTATATATTATTATATTAATGAATGGTGATATTTTGACAATCAGAAATCATACAACCCTTCAAACAACTAACTTTTATTAATATAATAATCTACATAATGATTTAATAAAAATAAAAATAAAGTAAAATTATTATTATAATATTAAAAGAGAGTTGTTTATAAGAGTTGTATAGATTTGAGTTGTCAAAGTATCATTTTTTTATATTAATAAAAGTGAGTTCTTTAAAGAGTTATATGATCTTTGGTTGTCAAAATATCACCACTCATTTATTAATTTATTTAAATATTTTTTAACAATTATATATTTAAATGGGAAATGAGACTAAAGATAAAATTAAAAATAATTTATATAAATTGTGTGTAATTTGTTTTCCTGCGTAACTAATTTCTTATAAGAACTCAAAAATAAGTATTTTTTTAAATAAAACTTAAAAGTAATTTTAAATATATACATGAGTTTATTTTAAATGATAATATAATATAATTTATATATGAATAAAATATATATTTAAAATAAATTAAATTCTTTACTATATTTTAAAATATTTTAAATTAAGATAAGTATTTTAAAAATTATAAACAATTTGTTTACTTAATTAAATAGTATAATTTTTATCATATAATGTCATATTTTTAATAAATAATTAACTTATATTTAAATTATTGATTTACGTCCTTATAATTAATTATTTTTCATATTAATAAATAAATTATTGGATCAATATTTATATTATTTATAATTTTTAAAGTATCTATTTTAGTTTAAAATAATTTAAATATAAATATATTTTATTTAGATTTAAATTAAACTAAATGAAATTATTATTTAAAACAAATCTTTAAACATATTTTAAATTATTTAAAAAATATTTTTTTAATTTAATTAGTTTTTTATTTTATATAAACGGTAAAGAAGGAGTTCTTAGTATGAATATTTTAAAAATAAAGAAAATATTTCATTATGGTTTTGAATGGTTTAAAAATGGGTTAGAATTGTTTTTATAAGTAAAATATTTCCATTTTTATGTAAAGTTTTTCCATTTTAAACCATTGAGCCGTAAAATCATAATAAAATATTTATTTTTATTCTTAAACCGTAACTTTCTTTTCAATACTCAATATTAACGCATTTATGAAACTACACTAGATACACCCTAGAAATTAATTTTCTAATAGTCACTAAAATTTTAGTATATACCAAATTGAATTTAGGGTAGTTAATTTAAGAACATTTTAGGAATTATATCATCAAATACGGTAATTAGCAAGAGATAAACTTTGAAGTAAATTACAAATTAATCCTCAAAATTGTATCATATCAATTAATTTACTCGTTAAAATTATATTTGAAGGCAAAGTTTATTTTTGAATTAAATAAAATGGTAAGTAATTATTTTGATCTATGAAAGTGTAAATTACCGTTGTTAATTTAAGAACAAAAATTCCAATATTTACTTCGTAAATGAGTAAAAGTGTTATTGTTAATTTTTTTTAATTTATTTTTTAAGAATCAATTTGACATATTAAGTCATAATATTTAGGACCAATTTATACTTTCTTATGTATCCAGGGACTAACTCATTTCTCTTTCCTTCTTTCATACATCGAATCAATTTACACATTGAGAATGAAATTGGTCATATACACTTAAATAAAATGACTAAAGATTCTTGAAATTATAAATTATTATCAATTTATCCCTCAAAGTTTTGATAAGTAAATGATATTTTGATTTTTAAATGTATAAAATTGGTGATAGTTTAATTGTTTTATTATATTATATATTAAGCAATTAGGCTAGAAGACGATGATGAAATCCAAAGTAATGGAGAAGTAACTCAAAAATTAACATGTAAGTATGACCAGGTATCCACTTGGCAGGATGACATTGTTAGCCACAATAGTCTTTTTAGACTTAAAGTTGGTTAGCCTGATACAGAACGGTGCATTACTAGAAAAATGGATATGAATAATAATGACTGAAATTAGTAACCAAAAAATTTAGTCATGATAATTGAATCAGTGACTCATTTCATCAATCAGTGATTCATCTCCGTTTTATATTTAATGTGTGATTTAGTGACTAAAATTTGAATAACGGAAATTTGAACACGTGCTTTGAATCGTGACCCTTTGCTAAGTTTCCACACTGCACCCCAAGATGGAGATCTAGAATGGTGCTTTGAACATGCTTCCTTCACTTCAACCTTGTCAATCTCACCATCCCCATCCTCGTATTCAACCATCACTGCAAAATATAATTGGTTCGATCCAGAATCCACGTGAAAAGCTACTGACATATACCTCGATAGTTGCATGCAACCCTGCAAAATTTAAAGTTCATCATCTCCATATTGCAGTAATGTAAATAAAATGATTGAATCTGTGTAAATGTTGGATAAAACTAAAAACCAATAGTGAAGAAAGAACAAAGATGTAAAAGTCTGCAAAAATCATAAGGTTATTATACCTTCTATATTGAATGGCTACTTGGCCTGCTATGCGTAGCTGATTATCTTGACCTGGAGCTGCCATTGCACTAAAAGAAGTGCCACTCATATCAAAATGTGCCCCTGAGCCACATTCAGGACACAAATCAGTCATCACTACCCTCACTGGTTTGCCGGAGCATGCTTTATTCCCTGTGCACTTCACCTGAAATTATAACAAATTTGCATACCAACATGTATTAATATTGTTTATGAATTATTATTATTTATAATTTGTTAAGCATTTATATCCATATATATTTTGATTGGAACCTCATAACAAGAACCACAGCCTTTGCCTGATTGAAACAAAAGATAGCTTCCTGCAGTTATCATTGATGACAATGGAGGTACCCCAACAGTGCTGCCATAACCACAAGCACCAGCTACATAAATAATTAACAAAATTTATTATTCAATGCTTTTTCAACCACATATATAATTAAAGTTTGTACCAAGGAAAAACTGCATGTGTCTAGATTTTTCTAAACCTTCACTTCCATCCCCATGATCAGGTCCATACCACGTGGCAAAAGCAGATGACCAGTATACACTATCTGAGGAGTGTGAATCAATTGAAGCATTAACAATCTTTTTGGGGTTGAAACAAGAGGAAGGGACAACTAGGAGTATTGAAAGTGAAACTATAAATGTCAGTAAATGAGACAATGAATGCTTAAGTGTAGGAGCCATCTTATCACAGAATCACTGGGAGTTGTTACTTCCCTAGGTTGCCATGAGTATTTATAGGAGCAAAAGAGGTACATGAACCGCTGAACAAGGAAAATATATTACACATGTCAGTTTAGAAGAATATGCTTAATTCATGAGAGAGAATTTTGAGTCTCTCTTTAATGTTTAAAGAACAAGACAAATGCAATGTTTGAACTTGTGATGCAAAAGACTACATTTTTCTCTCATCTGGTTTCTCTGTTGTGTTATTTGTCTTGACTCGATTGATTACTATATATCGTCTCTAATTGGGTATGAAGGTAAAAGAGGAGATCCAATCTCAAAGACTTGCTGACGATTAACTCATTAATAATATTGATGGTTACATGTAATGAGGTTAATATTGGAAAATATAACGTCGACACAAATTTCAACCTAAAATTTTAAGTATTAGATTATAAATATATTTTTTGTCAATCTAAAATTTTAACGTCCAATAACTAAGAGAATATGACACAAGTGTTAACCCTAAAATTTTAAGTATTAAATTATAAATACTTTGTTTGTCAATCTAAAATTTTAATTTACTTGTTTTTACTATTTATCTTGTAAGTGTAATTTTCTTCTATATTAATACACTTATTTTTTGAACCAAAACATTTGTTATCCACGAGTATTATACACTAACCTTATTTCATATCATCATTTCAGTATAATGAAATTTGTTTGTCTGAAATATTGTTGTGAGGTAGACTTTTGACACACGGATCCAAACCAAATATTTGTTAACTACTCAAATTAGATTTATTGAGTCGATTATCATACAAATTATCAATTCTAATATCATTGATTGGATATTTGTTACAGAAAACTAATACTGAAAAGGTTTTCATAAATATAATTATAAATTAACCATATAAAATCATTTTCAATGAAAAAACTTAAAATTTGTAAATTATGAATCTTTTTCATTTATAAGTTTCTCAACTTATTTGAATTTACATATGAACAAATACAATAAAACAAAAGTGTACAAAGAACGTGATAAACATAAATAATTGTGTTATCCTATTTATAAGTGTATTAAGTAACAAATAATATGTATTATTTTAAGGGATTTATATGTTAATTAATTGAATATGTTATGAGAATTAAGTTTATTTTGATATATAATATTTAATAGCATTGATCTCTAATAATTTTCTACTTTTGTACAATGTACGTGGTACATAAATTGGGATAAGCTTCCCAAATAATTAAAATTTGAAAAACTCGAAAATGAACAAGCGAATGAATTTGATGTGAGTTTTTTATTTTTATGTCGCAATTGTTACTAGCTGTGAATATGGAGCTCCTATTTTTCCAAAAGTAACTCAAGGTGTGATATATTTGTATTGTAAGACAGAATTTCCTACCATGTTTTTTGCCATATAAAAAATGTATTGAATAAATATTAATATTACAATATTTATACTATGTTTGATCATTTACATCTAATATTAAAATATTTATATCATAATATCGCCATTAGATTTTTAGAAATGAATTTTAAAAAAATATTTTCTAAAATAAGTTAGAAAAAATTTGTTTAATAACTCTATTTGCCAAAACTATTTTAGAAAAAATGATGACCTACATGACAAGAAAATTGTGACAAAAATGAAAATAATTTAATAACTTTTATGACGATGAAAACAAATCATTTAATATAACTAATGATGAAAATATTGATACTTATTAATAAAAATAAAAAACTAAAGGAAAAAAAACTTTTTGATTAATTTTAATTTATTAATTTCTTAAAACTAAAAAACAAAAATAACTTTTGAAAACTATGTTAACAAAAACGCTGTCAAATAAGTTTTTTTTAGTTTTTAAAAACTAAAAACTTAAAAACGAGTTCTAAAAATAATAAATAAATAAGTCACTCTCTTAATAAAGATTTTTCTGATGTCTAAAATAAAATTTCAAATTATATATTTTCATGACATTTATGAATTTAATATTACATAATATAGTTTTGCAAATCAATAATGTAATACAAATATAAAATTTTCTAGTAAGGTGATCATCTGTTTGAACTTATGAGCTAATTAAAAAAAAAATTAATAAAATAATTTGACTTATATTTAAAAACAAACTATAATTTTTTTCCTTAATATTCTAGGAAAAATGTTAAATAACAAGAATACGGTTATCTTCTTTATTAATATGATCAAAGTGATATGTTTTTTTTAGTATTTAATAATTAAAAAAATAAGTACTTAATAATTTATAAAATATTATTTTAAGTATTTGAAAAAAATATTTATTTATTTATTCCTATTTTTATGTTGGTTTTTCACTGATCCAATTTTTTTTATATTTATTTTCTATCTTCAATTTATTTTTTATCATAGGAACTCATATATTTTCCGTACAAGGGATTTAATATATTATACTTATAACATGTTTGAACTTAACAAAGTACGTGCGATAACTTAACAAACTTAGGTTTAAAAGTTGACAATTGATCTGTATGTTTGACCAAGGGTCCAGTCCTTAGGGATGACATTGCTAGCCACGACAGTGTTCACAGATTTAACAGTGGTTAGTCTGATGGAGAATGGTGGATTGAGTGGAGACCCTTTGTCAAGTTTCCAAACTGCACCCCATGATCGCTGCATGGTGTACCATGGCGCTGAATCAAGAGCTTCCTTCAGTTCAACTTTCTCAAGATCACCATCACCACCCTCAAATTCAATCACCATTGCAAAGTATTCTTGGTTGGATCCAGTGTCGACGCGAAAAGCTATCGACACACCACCATAGTTGCATTCAACTCTGCAAAAGGAAACTCGTCTCTAAATTCGTCTCTAAAACAGTGACAAATTTAATACTTGGAAGTTGGAATATGTGTAAAAATCTCAAAACCCACCTTCTATATTGAATGTTTATTTTCCCAGCATTGCGTAGCTTCTGGTCTTGGCCTGAAACTGCCATGGCACCAAAAGCAGAGCCACTCAAATCAAAATGGTATTGGGAATCTGAGCCACAACCTGGACATTCATCAGTGATTACTACCCTCACAGGGTTCCCTGAGCATGCGTAATTTCCTGTGCACTTCACCTGAACTCATAACAAATTGCCATGCAAACCTCAATTAATATCTTCATTTTCCCTTTGCACTTCAGTGCATTGAGTAGCCACACATATATAGTTTATTAACTTGTTTTTATATAACAGAAAATTCATCTCATGCCATGTAGTGTTTTTAATACCAGAACAATTAATAAATATAGTATTGAACAGTGTATTGTAGAAATTAACAATTTTGACCACTAAGTAATAATATTAGATGCATCATAAATCATCTATAAAGTTAAATGGATGTATTATATTTTTTGCAATGGATGGATGAGATGAATAAATATATATGTTTATTGTATGTACCTCATAACAAGAACCACAGCCTTTGCCTGATTCATACAAAAGAGGGCTTCCAGCAGATATCAGTGATGAGAATGGAGGTTCACCAACAGAGCTTCCATAACCACAAGCACCACCTATAAATATATAATGAAGAAGAAGAAAAATAATGAAACTATATCAGAGAATTCTTTTACAACTTTGTACAGTGATGAGAATATATATATTTCCAAGAATTAATACCTTCACTACCATCCCCTTGAGCAGGTCCATACCAAGTTGCCACAGCAGATGACCAATCTGAACCATATGAAGCCAATGAAGCATTAACAATCTTTCTAGGGTTGAAACAAGAGGAAGGAACAACATGGAGCATTGAAAGTGAAGCTGCAAGAGTGAAGAAATGAGAGAATGCACGTACAAGTGTAGGAGCCATATTATGGTAGTTGGTAGTTTATGGTATATATGGTTTCAGAAAATGGATATGGTATTTATAGAAGAGCCAAACGTGAGAGTGCATAATTTTTTAACTGCCAAATATTGCACATAAAAATACATTGCACATGACAATTGAGTCTGACATATTTTTTTCTTAAAAGAACAAAGACAAATGAGATCTTTGAATTCATATTATACATTTCCTTCACGCATTGTAAAGATATTACTTTTAAATATTTTATTATATATATTTTTTGTTTAAATTTGTAGAACACTGGTCTTTTGAAATTTCACGTCTAACACAAATATAATTTAAATTATAATATATAAACGAAGTTTTAAAGTCGAATTAAGTATTAAGATTAAGTGTTAGAATTTTTTTAATATAGATTATATTATCTATTAACTGCTAATCTTTGTGTCAAACTCTTGCTAAACATACCCAATCTTAAATATTTAGGTTTGAATTAGACTTAATACATGAATCAAGATTAAATTGGAAAATTGAAAAATATGTCTTTACTCTTATAATTTTCAAAAAAGAAAACTTTGATCGGTAGGACCGTATCTACTATCTACGTAAACCGAATTTTATTTTGATAGTAAAGTTTTAACTTTTATAGATTAAATTAAAAAGTAATTTCTACAATAATGCACTTAAAATAAGTTATACCATTTTGACATTGACATGAATCATAGGAAATTAAAAATTTCAACAAAGGCTTTTAAAATAATGTTTTGCATTGAGAATATTTGTTGTTGTTTTCTGTCCAATTGCAACTAACATCAACTGCGGTAACATGGGAGATTCGGAAACTCTGGAGACGGTTGTTAAACAATCGTAAGATCGAAATAAAAACATTATTTTTAGACTGGGAAACGATGTAACAGGTTACCTGTGTGTGGTTATTTAATTTTTACTTGATTATGAATCACAAAGATCACCCATCATATTTGAATACTTATAATCATTTTTTATTTATTTATGTATTAATATTTTGTTTCTATGCCAACGATTTCAAATGTAGTTTTGAAAATACAAACAGAAGTTTTGGTTTTTCATTACAGGAATTTCATTTATGTGTCGGTATACTGAAAATGTTAAACATAATCTAGAAGTCAAAATTTTACATATATTTTTCTCCTTCGATTAGAATCTATTGTTGTTTGGAGCGAGGAATATATTCATTTACTATACCCCAAAACTAATATAAGTTTAATTATTTAACAAATTTTATATGTTGTTTTAATTTATGTTTGTGGTAAAATATTTACACATAAAAAAACAATGAACACAATTTTTATTACAAAATTCATCAATAATTAAAATAATAATTAAAAGAAAAGATTTTCTTTTCTTTTACAAAAATATTATTATTAATAAATTTTTTATATTATAAAAATATTATTTTATTAAATTTGATTCAACATTTTTAAATTTTTAAATCTTGAATTTGTAATGGGAGAGCTACGGACAGAGAATAATAGAACCTTTCTAATATCGATGTACGAAAACTGTAATGTTTATATACAATAGAAATAACAGAGTAAAACAGAGAACGTGAACTAAACAGAAAAAAAAAAAAAACAGAAAGTAAACCCATGCACGTAACCATGCATGCCCCATGCACGTAACCATGCCCCATGCATTTTGACTTAAAACTCAACATGCCTCCTTAAGTCAAAACCGAACAATTCCCAGAGACTCTCTAAGTTTACAAAATCTAGCAGCCTTTAAAGGCTTTGTAAAAATATCCGCACTCTGATCTTTTGTACTGCAGTGTTCTACTTCAAGCTTCTTATCATTAACCTGCTCTCTCAAGAAATGAAACCTCATTTCTATATGTTTGCTTTTTCCATGAGCTGATGGGTGTTTAGCTAAGTCTATTGTAGACTTATTATCAACAAACAATGTTGGTGGTTGGACCAATTCTGCATTCAGCTCTTTCAACAGCATCCTAAGCCATGCAGCTTGACATGCAGCCTGTGCAGCAGCTATATACTCTGCTTCACATGAGGAGAGAGCCACCACGGGTTCCTTGACTGAATTCCAGGACACTGGTCCTTCGCCATAGTAAAATATGTGACCTGCAGTGCTTTTTCTATCTTTCCTGTCACCACACCAATCTGCATCTGCAAATCTCACCAATTTCATCTCACCCCCTGGCTTCTTGCATGGAAACATTATACCTAGATTACACGTTCCACGCAAATAGCGTAAGATACGTTTCACGGCATTCATATGGCTAACTTTCGGGCTCTACATATGTCTACTAACAATGCCAACACCATAGCTCAAATCAGGTCTGGTGTTACACAAGTATCTCAGACTCCCAATGATTCTGCGAAATTCTGTGTGATCAACATCTTCCTCCTCAGTGTCCCTTTCTAATCCCAAACCCATTTCCGTTGGAGTTACTGCAGCATTGCAATCCTTCATCCCGAACCTGCTGAGAAGATCTCGTGAGTACTTCATCTGATGCATAATAGTTCCAGCTTTTGTGAACTCAAACTCAATGCCTAGGAAGTAGCTGAGTCTTCCCAAATCACTCATCTCAAATTCACTATGCATTTGAGATTTAAACTCTGCAATTGCTTCTGGCTTGCTCCCAGTCAACAACATATCATCTACATAAAGACATACTATCATTTTCTCTTCTCTGTCTTTGTCTTTCCAGCACTTGGTGTACACCCCTTGTTCGGAAACACATCTCACAAAACCAATCTTCTCCAAGAACTAATTGATCCGATGATTCCAAGCTTTAGGAGCTTGTTTAAGCCCATAGAGTGCCTTATTAAGCCTATATACCTTGTGCTCTTCTCCTTTGACTATGAATCCCAAAGGCTGTGTTACATATATTTCCTCCTCCAAATAGCCATTTAAGAAGACAGATTTTACGTCTAGTTGGTGGAAGGACCAACCCTCCCACGTTGCCATTGCTACAATGATTCTAACAGTCTCCAGTCGAGCCACAGGAGCATAAATTTCTCCATAATCTATTCCTGCTTTTTGGAGAAATCCTTTGGTGACCAATCTTGCCTTGTACCTCACAATTTCACCCTTGGGATTTACTTTTATTTTATAGACCCATTTTAGAGAGATTGGTCTTCTGTCTAGTGGTGGTTCAACTAGCGTCCATGTCTTGTTTTTCTCTATGACTTCAATCTCTTCCTCCATGGCTTGCACCCAATGAGTATCTCGAATAGCATCATAGAATTCTATCTGATCTGCCTCAGCTATCAGGGCGAAATGCACAAAATTTCCATTCTCCGTTACTGCTAGATCATTGAAAATCTCATAATCCTTGAAACGTGTAGGCGGCTGAGTAACTCGTTGTGATCTTCTTGTTTGTTCATGAGGTTCCTGCTGCACTGTTACATCACCTACAACATTATCAGTTAGTGAAATTGTTGGCGTTGTACCTGATTGAGTTACTTGACTCGTTTCCTGCCAGTTCCAACACGAGCCTTCATCAACCACCACATCTCTGCATATGATTACCTTTCGAGAGTTTGGATCAAACAATTTATAGCTGCCTGTTACGTGATAGCCAACCAAGACTGCCATAGCACCTTTGTCATCAAGTTTGCTACGTGTTTGATCTGGAATGCGGTGATAACAAAGAGATCCAAAAACTCTCATATGAGTTACATCTGGTTTCTGACCAGACCAGGCTTCCTCTGGTGTTATACCATCAAGCTTCTTTGTTGGTGAGCGATTCAAAACATAGGCAACAGTTGAAATCGCTTCTCCCCATAGATATTTTGGAACACCCTTACTTTTAAGCATGCATCTTACCATGTTAAGTAGGGTCTGATTCCTCCTTTCTGCAGTACCATTATGCTGCGGTGTATATGGTGGTGTTGCCTCATGAGCTATTCCATTTTCAGCACAAAAATTCTTGAATTCAAGAGAGTTGAATTCTCCACCACCATCAACACGAAGCCTCTTCAACTGCTTGCCACACTGATTTTCAACCAGTGTCTTGAACCGCACAAACACTTTAAACGCTTCACTCTTCTTTCGCAAGCAATACACCCATAACATTCTCGTGTAATCATCTGTAAAAGTAATAAAATACTTGCTGCCCCCAGGTGTTTCAACCGGCAATGGACCACAAATATCTGAATGTATTAGCTCAAGTTTCTCCGAAGCTTTTGAGGATACCTCTTTACTGAATTTGTTCCGCGTTTGCTTGCACTCCATTCATTCTCTACATACTTCGTCTGTAACACACATATGAGGAATACCAACTACCATTTTCTTATGTCCAAGTTCTCTTAAGTCCCAAAAATTAAGATGTCCAAATCTAAGATGTCACAGCCATTCGCACTTGTCACTGACAGCAGCAAAACATTGGTGCTTCAAAGCATCCATCTTAACCTGAAAAGTTCGATTGGAGGACAGACCAGCATGTATAACCAGCTTCTGGGTTTGATCAAAAACACGTAAGGCATTATCTTCAAGTGTCATCTTGAAACCTCTTTGCATCAACTGGCCCAAGCTCAGAAGGTTTGATTTCAACCCGGGCACATATAGAACATTTTCAATTATCACGTCCTTGCCATCACTGTTTCGCAACACAACTCTACCAGTTCCTTTTGCTGTGAGAGAACTATTATCTGCAAAACGTATTTTTTCTTGACTAATATCACTTATCTGCACGAACCAATCTTTCTTCCCGGTCATGTGCGTGGAGCACCCAGAGTCCAAGTACCACAAATATTCATCGTCGAGCTTCGCATCTGTCTCTGCCATTAACATGACAACCTCTTCATCAGAATTTTCTTCCTCTGCAAGATGAACTCGCGCATTCTTCTTTGGTCTGTTCTTGGCTCCGTCACCATCCCAGCAATCTCGTGCATAATGCCCGAATTTTTGACAGTTATAGCACTTGATTTTTTTCTTGTCATACTTCTTCTCTTTTTCTTCTCCAGAATTTTGTTTCTGGTTTTTGTTCTTCTGTTCATCCGAATCTCCCTTCTTCTTTGTCTTAG